GTCACCGATCGCCGTCCACATGTCCCCTGCGTTCAACCTCACGCGTACAATTTCAACGGCCAACTCGCTTCCTCGCGCGTGTTAAAGAATGACTGGACACACCATAGTTCGAGACCGGACGCGCTGGTGCTCAGTCAGCCCGCGCGAGCCCAAGACTTCACCATGCAACCGGACACGCAGCTCACCGCCACTGTGTAGCGTCAGGTCAACTCCAGAGAGGTTCCAAAGATGCAAAACCATGACCTGATGCGTCCGGTCCTCTCTGGTCAGCTCCTCCGCGTTGCATCAGCGTACGTCAGGAGGGACCGGACTCACCCGCCTCAGCGTCCGGTCACTTCGTGGCCTGCGTCCGGTCACTGTTTCACAGTGACAATCACATCCTTCACTTCACCAACTTCTCCACCCTTGCTCAAATGTGCCAACCACCAAGTGTATCACTTTGTGCACGTGTGTTAGCATATTTTCACAAACATTTTCAAGGGTGTTAGCACTCACTAGAATCTAAATGCATATGCAATGAGTTAGAGCATCTAGTGGCACTTTGATAACTACATTTCAATATGAGTATCACTCCTCTTAATATTACGGCTATCGATCCTAAATGTAATCACACTTGCTAAATGTCTCGATCACTAAACTAAAAAAGCTCCTATCAAGTTTCAGCTTTGCCTCGAGTTTTTTGTTTTTCTCTTTCTTCTTTTCCAAGACGAGCACTTGATCATCACTATGGTCACACCATCATCATGATCTTCACCACTTGCTCCATTACTTAGAATGTGCTACCTATCTCATGATCACTTTGATAAACTAGGTTAACACTTAGGGTTTTATCAATTCACCAAAACCAAACTAGAGCTTTCAACTTCTTGCAAATCAAGTCATGTGATAATCTCGCTGACCTATTTACTAAGTCCTTACCAACATCTGTGCTTCAAAATTTGTACATAAGATTATGCGATGACTTCGAAATTTGTAAGGATCCGGGGGAGACATCTCTTAGATGCTAACCTATACCAGCATCATATTATACTCTTTTCTTTCATAAGTTTTACTCACAAGGTTTCTTGTTAAAGTTTTTAATGAGGTAATATTAATATAAGCATGTGTCATATTTTCTATTTTCTCCATCGGGTTTTTGTGGGAAATATCAAAACACATTGCCCTCACAACTCATCTATGGTTTTTCTCAAAAAGGTTTTTCATGTGAGTTATCCTAGAGGTAATACCAATAATATGTCGTCACTTTTTCTACTAATTTTTTCAGTGGGGTTTTACGGGAGTTTTAGGGCATATCACTTTATATTGCTCCTCATATTTTTCCTAAAAGGTTTTTGGAGGAGTTATCTTTATGTCGTATCTTCAATAGTTTTTCCCCACTGGAATTTTTAATGGGATACCAATGACATAGTAGTTTATTTAAACACACAAACAATATGCTATTTTCTCCTTATTTTCAATAAGGTTTAAAGGAGTTTTTATGGTATATCCATATATTCCTCGATTTTTTTTCCATAGGGTTTTTTGGGGAGTTTTAGCTTACAGCCGCATTGATCTCAAGGAGGATTCGATTAAGGGAAAGTGTTGTGAAACGACACCTAAACGCGAACGGACGTCTACTGACGACCAGTCATCTCTTCACGAGTGATCTCATCCATCAAGCACAGGAATAGTGGATAGGATTAGACAGTTAGTTTTAGTCCCAAAGGGCATATCTTTTGGGAACAGTCATGTCCCTTCGTGACACCCCTTCACTTGTATAAATATATTTCAGAGATCAATGGAAGCAACCGTTCTTCCAAATATTGTTCATTTACATTCACGCTTTAACACGCATATCAAGGTATGCATGCATTTACTCATGCTAATGCTACGGGCTATATTGAGTCCAAAGTTAATTCTATCAAATTTGAAATACTTCATTAAGATTCAATCAAAAACATATTTCTATGGCTCCAAAAAATGAAGCGATGCACGTTCAAAAAGCATAGATGTACTTTTGTCGCAAAAGTTATAATTTAATTTTGTTTTATAAAATTTCATATAAAATGACAAAAATCACTGAATTTATTATTCTATTTTTTTTAAAAAATGAGGGAATCCCAAGTATTGAAACAAAAGGCACCTTTGGGATATCGATGCATATCATTTTTTTTAACTATACTCATATTTTTTTTTCTAGATCAAAATATAGTTTTTTTGAGTTCTCATGGTTTGCACTACATATTCCCTCCTCCACCATTGTAGATAGAAGTCACGCTCAAGCTTGAGGCATAGCCATTAGTATCTGCCCAATTCTAAACTTCAGTTATATAATTCAATCTTGAAAACTAGATCTTGTTGAATTTAACAGGTACTTTATCGATAAGAATAATATATGCTATAGAAAACACTCATAATAAGTCCATCCTTGGGTATAGCCCTATTGGCTTCACTTTATCTCATAGCAATACACATTTTGATTGTGTCCTGTCATACTGTATCGGAGTCACTGAATGATACAGAAAAAGATAGAACAAAGAAAATAGCCCAAAGCTATTCCTTTGTACCATATTTTGCCTTCAATTACATGTTTCCACCAGTATGATCATAGTGATGATGGGGTTCAGTATATAAGTCAAGTTCTGGTTTCTCTTTTCCAATGCATTTATAATAGGCATAGCCTCAGAAGGATCCACGACTCCAACTGTTCCAGTATCAACACCATGCAGGATATATGCATAGTTATCTCGAAGGCAAGGTACCTGCATATAAATCAGGACAGTTGCTGATGAATATTTTAGGACACTCAGTAATATGATTGAATGAGAAGAAATATCAACAGATAGGACACCAGCTCTTTCCTACTAAAAATGGCCTTGAGTTATGACCTTGTATTTTCTTTCTACAAAGCAATGGCATCCAATTGTAAGAAACTCATCACAACTAATTTAAAAAGAGCACCACCATGTAGATACAGAAACAGGGTGCTTACATCGATAAGCATTAAGCAAATATCAGTAAGCATCGAGCCTTAAGTACTCGATAGCTAGCTAGAAGTCACACAGGTATTTCAGACCACTTACAAGCTCAATTTGCAGCGACGACAAGACGCTGGTCATGTTGCAGAGGAACCGCCCAGCACCAAAAACACGACACACTCCATACAGTGTCCTCAGTGGCATGACCAACAGAGTGCCGATTCCATACAGCAGTGGCTTCCCGGGCCATTGCTTCCGCATGCTTGGCAGCAAGGACGGCTGCCCCCCTCATCTGCAAATAAACAGAAGCAGGCTAAAATTTGTTACAATCAAGAATTCATAGAGAACTACTCACACAACAGTGATTGACCATCAAACCCATCTCCATACCTTGGCTGACTCCCTCCGGTGCCGGAGTAGGAGGTGCAGCTCGTCCACATCCATTTCCGGCACCACCAACGCCACGATCCATAGCCGTCCTAGCAGTATTACCTCTTCCATGAGTTGTACAATGTTCAAACCAGATAATCTACGTTGTCATGAACACACCAATTTAATATGAAATAGGAGACCGAAAAGTTCCACTGTTTTTATTTCGACAGCAAATGAGACTATTTTCATTATTCAGAGATTTCACACAGATGTGATACAAATATATATAGCCCACACACTAAGCAACACCCTGCAGTAAGAAGACAAAATAAGGACATTCTATAACCATCTATGAACTAAATAACTGGAAAACATAAAGCAACTGTGCCATGATGATGAACCCGCACTTCTTTTAAAAAGTAAATCATGAAACTAACAGTGACATATGTGGTAAATTGTTGTTGCCCCTCAGCTATTTCTTTCATAAGAATTTCCTTACCTGAATGATGAACAATCATAGCATTGCTTTGATGATAAGAAAAAAAAATGGCAGCTGAACCTCATTTTTAGCACTTTTTTTTAAAATGCTGCAAGTCAAGCTCTGTAGTTTATTTGCACACAATAAGGTCAATTTCCAAGCTTCCAGTTTAAATATCCATGACTACTTCCCACCAAAGCACAATGGTCTCTGACACAAATAATTAACCCCTTGGAGAAAATTTGTGAATAATTTGCTACACACTTCCAAAATCCCTCACTTCTAGGTCTTAACTATACAAAGCAATTACATGCATTGCACATTCATACATAATCATACCTAAAAATTAGGAAACAGGGAGGACAGCCTCATCCTGCAAGGAGGGATTGCACAAACTGGAATCTGAGCAAGTCTTCGCAGACTCTTCAGTGGGGTTGATCTGGTTGTATAGCGAGGACGTCCTCCTGCTCACACGCGCATCCCAAACAAAATCAGATAAAATCAAGCACCAACAACCACAAGAAGATAAGAACATAGACAACTCACACCTGCTCAGTCTAACAGGAAGCCGGTATGTAACTGAGTCGTGCGTCTCCAGAGAAGGGATCACTTCAGAATGACTTCAACAGTTGCGGCCTGCGGCAGAGCCCCTAGCACCTTTAGGGCATACCCAGTGCAGAGAGCTCCCGCTCTGTGCGGGGTGTGAGGAAGGGTGTACGCCCTAGCACCTTTAAATCAATCCAAAATATAATCAGAGAAGTGAGGGAGAAAGCAATCAACCGTACTTAGTTGATGCTTGCATTCTAATTGCCATCAGGATAAGGTAGGTGTAGGATGTAATTCGCAATTGCCAAGTCTTTCTCAAAGCAAATGTAAAAAAATCGTTGGGATCCAGATATAGCTGGGGTTCAATTGGGCACCTTGCATTATGGGTAGTTAATTGGAAGGATCTAACCAACTGTAGCAAGACAGTGAGAGGAAGGCCACGCAGACAAGCTTTTCAACCGATCCAGAGACATACCACGGCTACCGCCTATCTGGGTTACCTACATCGTGTGCAAGGAGGAGATCCGCATCGTGTGCGAGGATATCCGGACGGGAGAAGGCCACCGCCGCGCTGCTCAGTGATGGACACGGAGGGCGTGGGACGCGGGATGGATGGAGATTGAAGTGACGGATACAGAGCCCACCGGATGGATGGGGATTGGAGTCACGGATCCATAGCCCGAGGGCAGCTGCCCATCGCCGACACCCATGCACGCAAAGCCATCAGGACAGGGAAGGGTGCCGTGGCCGCCGTCGGGATGGGGAAAGGGAAGGGCGCCGCCATAGTCGAGAAGAGATTACAAGCAACTCATGACCACACAAAACCATAGATCAGAGCAAAGGCGATGCCTTTAGGGTAGCAGGGGCGTGAGGGGTAGCCGAATCCGGTGTCAAGAGCGCACCTTTGCGTCTCCCGGCTATGATGGCGGAGGAGGAGGGAGGGAGACAACGTCGGAGAGGAGGATGCGAGAGTGCTGCGTTACCTAGCTCCTTTCTTATCGCAGCCGAGGGAGGGGGAGACAGATCGGAGCGGCGGGTACAGATGCACCTCGTAGCCGAGGGAAGAGCCAAGGAGTCGCCGGAGGTAGCCGATGACGTCCTGGCGGCGGCGCTCCGCCTCCTGGGAGTAGGGCCACGGATCGCACGAGGAAGGAAGCAGCGATCAACATGGTGCCGGTGCCGCGCGGCGTTGTTTCCTTGTGGGAGGATCCACGATCAATGCCGCGGGATCACGCGTCGAACGGCTGAGGGATCGGGAGCGTGATTGACGTCGCGATTACCTACCTACTGGGAACGATGGTGGGCTGCAGGGCGAGGGCGGGCAGGATGTCGATCGCGGGGACACGGTCCCACCTGCCGGCGCTTTGAAAGAAGAAGAGTCGCGGTATCGCACGTGGTATGTAGAAAGGCGACCATATCAAAAGTCGCGTGAAACGATGGTGTTAGTTTTGTTTTTTTAGATGCAGGAGATAGGAGAAATTTGACCGACTGATGATACATTGCGCCAATGGTACGTGCGCGTCACAGCGACCACCGGTCAGTCCACACACGACCCAGCACACCGCCAACCAAGAGGAATGCATCCGTATGCCCTTGCACACCAAGGGGCACTGATCGATCAAATCGGCACCTGAGCACGACGGAAGGGACCACCACCAGCTAGCACCAAGCACGATCGGAATCAGGCAGTAGCTTGCCGGAGTTGTGGAGAGGACTGGGTTGAGTGAGATGCACATGGATGATAGATTTGGAGGTGGAACCGCTGGAGCCAGGACGCCAAATCGATTATTGATCCGTCGGACGGTATAGTGGACCGGACCGATTCATTTTCTAGGCGCTCGCTTGCATTCCGCTTCCTCTACTCATGCCTACTTTTCATGCGCCCAACCGAGGGCCCATGCTCGTGGGGACCGCTGGTGACCAGCGGCCGCCGCTCCTTGTGTCCGGATGGACGGTATAGCAACCCGCCCCCATCTACCTCGGCCCCGCCTCACACGCGCACCCTACCCCGTCATTACACCCCGCTCCTTTCCTCGGACCCCCTCCTCTATCTCCGCGTGGGTGAGACTCGGGAGCCGACCCTCAGCTCACTGTGCCCCCGTCCGTCGGTCCCCAGCTCTATCGTGCCACATCCCCCAACGCCTAGGCCGTGCGGCCATCACTTACCGTGCCCCCGTGAAAACACTTGCAACATGAAACACTTGGATGCAACATACGTTGGAAACAAATGAAATATTTGAAATATACTATTGCAACATATGAGTGAAACATATGTTACATCTAGATAAAACACTTGCAACATGAAAATATATGCAACATCCAGATAAAACACTTGTAACATGTGTATGAAACATATGTAACATCCAGATAAAACACTTGTTGCAACATACGTGTGAAAACATTTTTCAAAATGCTTGCAACATAACACTGAAAATACTTACAAAAATATGCAACATGTGCAATATCCTGATCTACTTTTACAATATCTATATGTAACAATTGCAGTATACCTCTGAAATATTTGAAACACTTGAAACATATATTTGCAACATAGGGAGGGGGAGGCTGGGGCCGGTCGATTTCGGCCATCACGGTGGGATCCGGTGGCAAGCGGCGTGTGTGAAAGACCACCACCACCATCAGCCTTGGCTTAGCTTGCTTGCAAGCGACCGCCTGGCTTAGCGCAGGTGCGGGTGGGGGCAAGGCGGCACAAGCGAGCGGTGCAGGGAGCTGAGGCCAGCGTGGGAGAATCTTTGAGGTTGATGGCGGGCATGCACGAGCCAGTGGGGCTAATGTCGAGATACCCATCCCAAGAGATGTGGAAACCCCTTAAGCCCTCCCTTAAATAAAAAAAATATAATCGGGGTGCATGTCAGGTTTACCGAAGATATTTGGGGCATTCTTTTGCCTCGCCTCTCCTCAATTTTTACCAGCGTCCCTGAGGGGAGAACACCGTTGCAGGCCCGGGTGAGCTGTAATGTCCAATCAGGCCTTGTAGGCATGCAAATGAAGCCCAGTATAAAAATGGTCGGGGTGCATGTCACGCGTTACTGATTTGGGGGCATCCTCGCCTTCGCCTCCGCCTCCGCCTCCAATGCACCAGCGTGAGGACGAGGCGATTGCAGGCCTGGGCTGGGCTGCTATGCCAATCAGGCCTTGTAGGCCTTGTAAGGGCCCAGTATGGTCTATGGTCTTCTTTTTTCCCCGCCTACTTTCTCTCTCCCAACTCCGGTTCCGGCGTTCCCCCCGTGCGCTCTCTCTCTCTCTTTCTCTCCCGTGGCGACGACTGGGCGACCGCCGCCGCCGCCGCCGCCCTACGCCAGGTGCCCAGGTCATTGTCGGGTCGTCTTCCTCGGGCCCTTCGCCGGCGATGAGCACCCAAGTACGCCTACCCTTTCTCTTCCGTTCCTTTTATGCGAAACCGAGCTCCCAAACCCTAAGTTAAGCTATTTGTATTCGGATCTGATCTAATTACAAGCGTATGTAGTGTACGTGTAGTGTTATGCCTAGTAAGTACTAGCTTCGATTATTTGTTTATTTTTGCCAAAAATTATCGGGTGTGAACATCCATGTCCACTGGATTCACCCCTGTCGTGTGTACTGTGCGTGCTTATCAGTTGGTAGACCTTATTGATTATTAGTATAAGCTCTGATAGTTCATACGTACTGGAATTATTCCAACAGAATAAAAGGCTCAAGGATGTGGAGATCAGTTTCCCTATCGTTTATGGAACCATTTCTTTCTGGCTCGGTAAAAAGGCCAGCGAGTAAGTTTCTGATTCACAAAATGCGGAAATTCGTCCAGCCTGTGGATTCTTACTACAGTGAATTCAACGTAATTGCCAATTGTTTCCCCTCGCCTTTGTATGTAGGTACAACTCCCACAAGTGGACTGTATATGTCCGTTCTGCAAACAATGAAGATCTGAGTGTCATAGTTAAGCGTGTGGTGTTTCAGCTTCACCCAAGTTTCCAAAACCCAACAAGAGTCGTGGAGCAACCACCTTTTGAGCTGTCTGAATCGGGATGGGGAGAGTTTGAGATAGCAATAACCCTTTATTTCCACAGTGATGTCTGCGACAAGCGCTTGGATCTGTAAGTCCCGCTGGTCTTGTTTTTCAGATTTGTTTATTTTGGGGGGGGCAAGAGGATAGTTATTGTGCACGTGATGTAGGTTCCATCAGCTTAAGCTGTATCCAGAAGAAGAAGCTGGACCTCAATCAACCAAAAAGCCTGTTGTCGTGGAAACATACGATGAGATTGTTTTCCCTGAGCCTACAGAGGCCTTTTTCCAACGTGTGCAGAATCATCCAGCAGCTAATGTGCCCAGGCTTCCTCCTGGTATAACCCTGCCTCCCCCGGGTATGTTTCTTTACAACCTGTGTGCATTATATTTCACAATAGGAAATGCCGAAGTAGCACTATGTAACTTCCAATCATCTAGGCACTATGGAAATTGTCCCATATGAAAAGAAGCGTGGTGACACTAAGGATCATCCTTTGAGTCAGTGGTTCTCGAATTTCTCTGAAGCTGATGAGCTGTTGAAACTAGCTGCAGCTCGGCAACAGGTGAGACTTGGCTAGCAGCAACTGTCCTTATTTTTCTGATGTGCATATATGTGCTAAGCATACTGCTTGAACACTAACACTTTTATATGAAATCTGTAAAATCTAGTGAAATTATTCTATTGGTTCATGGAGAGTTTTCTCAGTTTATTTCTGTTTGGCAACTATATCCATGATAGAGTTGAGGGATGCAAGGTGAAATTTTCCTCTCATGAATGGCAGAAAACTCCCAGTGCCTAGTTTTCTACTGCTTGTTCCTTCTAATATGCATGTTGCACTATTGTGAGCAAACAAGACTGGAAAATTTCGCATCGGGTGGGTGCTAATGTTGATGTAGCTTTCATTTCATCTATTTGATTAGTTTTCCAATCTTGCTCAAATTTTTTTTTACGGCTCTCCTTGGGTATGAATGAACATAAATAATGGAATGGGGAAAACCAAGGTTCGAAAAAGGTGCTAAGCCACCGATTAGCGCCTAGGTAGTTTAAACATAGATCATACGACTAAGTGTTTACACACTAGCTACATAGCAAGAGATTTAGTTGCATAAATGTGCCAATAAATAGGAAAGGAAGAGCAATGCCATAACAGCCCACTGAGCCCACTAGAGGAGGAAGCCCACTAGCCCATCTAGACACCATAACACCCAAAAATGCCCTACCAGTAGACAATCCTGGGTCTCATGCAGCCGCGCTGCCTCTCCTCCGCCTGTGCGTCCCCATCACTACTCCAGCCGCACGCACCCCATCCTCTCCCCTTTCCATGGCACCCCTGTTTCTGCTGCACACGTGAGGGTGAGCGAAATCGAGCAAAAGGGGCTAAATCGAGCAGAGGGTGAGCAAAATCGAGCAACTTAGACACCACGAGGTAGGCAGATGGAATCATAATACAACAAACCATTTTGCCATCCTAACCTCGTAATCCTCTTCCTTTCTTCACCGTCTATGGGTCCTGACAGTTCATGCCACGTTTAATTGGACACCTAGGGCCTAGGCGGCGCTAGGTCTCCACCTAGAGCTTAAGCATGCCTAAGCGAGCATTTAATGATGTTTTCTTTAACACTGGGGAAAACAACGCCCAGTTATTTGACATTGGATTATTTTCGTCCTCTAGGTGCAGGCTCACATAGCCAAGCTGAGAAGGCAGTTAACCATGATAGAAGGAATGCCCCAGCAATCGAAAGCCTTTTCTGGTCAGTAAAACTTCTTGTTTTTCGATGATTATGCTGGTGGGTAACTGGTGATGAACTTTTACTTATCTTCTATGTTCAGTCCCTGGACAGCAGTATAGACACATCTAATGTAGCAATGTTAGCGCACCGGATTGTAAGGAAGATGTTGGAATGGAATCTTTCAACAGCTGCTTGACAAATTGGATGTGTAACTCTGTATTCACATTGAGGTGGCTGCCTTAGGCTTGCAAATGATGTACTAATATGCAGTTCACTCTGTATATTCTATGATTTGTAGTACATTAGGCTCATAAGATAACATTACTAATGTGACCTGTTCTCTATCTGTTCCTATATCGCCATTGCCCTCTTTTCTATGTATGAAAATGGCATGTCTTTATTGTTAGCCTTATGCTTGTTCAATTTCTTTTTTTTTTCTATATGATGATGGATCTGCCACAGTGAAAGCATTGTTTTCAGGACGTCCGATTAATCGCGATTAATCGCGACTAATCGTCCTGGACGGTTTTAGCAACTCGACCAGGGCCTCCGAATAGGCCAGACCGTCCAGGAAACTAGTCGTCCGATTAATCGTCGTCCAGCCGCGGTTAATCGCCCGTCCAGGCTGTGCTAGTCGTCCAGCCTGAGAGTGGGCTGTATCTGAGAGCTGGGCCTATTTTATATTTTGGCCCAAGCCCATTAGGGTTTCCCTTTCCTACCCCCTCACTCCCTCAGCCTCTCACTCACACGGCAGACACACTCACTCTTCAGTCTTCTAGTCTCTCACCTCTCAGCAGCCCTCCCTCTCCCTTCCAGCTGCTCCTCCCCCTTCCAGCTGCCCTCCCTCTCTTCCTTGTGGTTGCTGCAGTGCTACAGGCACGCATGCCTGTAGATCCAGCGGGTGCAGAACTGCAGATCCAACTGTGCAAGGGAGGAAGACTGCACGAAGAATATGAGCTCCTCCTCCTCAGGTCAGTCATCACCTCCTCGTGGGTATATTAGTGTGTGTATATTAGTGTGTGTATATTAGTTTGAGTAAGTGGCCAACTGACCTATCTAGAGCCCAGAACATGTAGTATATTAGTGTATGTATATTAGTTTGAGTAACTATATAATATATATGGTATATCAGTTCCCCATATATAGGGGACGACCAGGACGACCAGGGGACTCGTCCAGGGTCGATTAATCGTCCTGGACGACGACTAATCGTCCTGGACGTTCTGGACGGTCCCCAGGCGTCTAGACTCGACCAGCCGTCCTGAAAACATGGAGTGAAAGAGAGTAAGGACAAACTAGGCTCACTTCTAACGCTTTTGACGCTACAAATAGTTATGAACATTAGCATTGTTGACTAGGAATTATGCTATGCTTGTCGACTCTGACAGGGAGCATGCGTTAACAGTAAGTTACTGTGCTGGACTGCAGATTAGTGTGACCTGCTGTGATCCTTTTGTTTTGCACAAGCCTTATGTAATCTACATGATGCCATCTTCCTGTCAATATATTTCTGATCTTTGTGCCATTTTCTATGGACGAAATGAACGGCATAATATTCTGCTGGGACCATTTTGTGAACTGAAACTTGGCATATCAGCATGCATGTTCCATATTTTCTAATCACAAGCTACAGTGTCCAGTAAAGGAATATGAAGCCATAGGTGGCAGTACAATTGCTATAGTTCACTGTTCTCTAGTGTCCTGGACTGTCCTCTAGGCATTCTTCATGAGTGGTTGTGCACTGTGCAAGATTATGCCTTGTCTGGGCATTGCAACTGCCCATATGAGTTATGACTATCAATGGTGACTCGTGACTCTAAAGTTTTGGGCTGCTGACATGGGCCCTGTTCGTTTCTTTGAAAAAAACAAGCCAAAATATTGTTCCGGCTGATTTGTTGTGAGAGAAAAACACCGTTTCGGCTGAAAAAACAAGCGGATTATAAGAGAAGCGAACAGAGCCATATTTTTTTATGTTTACTCGGCATAATCTACTGTTTACTCCCTACTTTTGAAATTAAGAAGGCATTTTTGTCATTGCATATAGACCAAGAAATCATTCAACATGAGTACACATCTTTTATTACTAACCCAAAACTGCAGGTAGTAAACATGTAAAGTCAAAGTCTCTAGCTGTTTGGATGCAAAGTATGTTCAGAGTATTAGATAAAACTAGTGATTTGCGCGCGCCCATGCGTGAGTAGAGCCACTTCATTCATTTTGATTTTTCACAAAGCATGAGAATGTAACGAAGTGCATCGGATACTGTGACCAGATTTATAGAGAAATTGACAATAAGAGTAGAACCATTTTCTTGCACAAGCAACAAAAACATTGGTGCAAACCATTGGCCACCACAACATTGACAGATTTGGTTGATGAAGTTTATATGCCAACTGGTTCACAGAAGTTCATATGTTATCAAGTTCATACATTACATGGATATAAATATGGATATTACAACGATTGTTTGGTATATACATATCCTAGCAAGTCAATATTTTACATCACATAGAGGACGTCCCTCAGCTCGATTAGTCCAAACCAATCGAGGTTCCAATTTCCTAAATCAGAATGAGCATCAGTGTTAGTTCACCATATAAAGCTAGTATGCTAGACAGATGTAGTTCATGTCCAAAAGCATCCAAAGTGATCTTATTTCCATAGCAAAATATAGATGTGTCTTCAAAAGTATTGTTCTTCCCTAGATGAACCAGTTGTGATATTAGAAGTCTGATATAGTTGCCATGAACATGATTTTATTTTGTTTGGTTAGATGGAGATAAATAGAGGTAGAGAACTAACCTTGATCGCTTAAGTCTGGCATTGAGGAAGCTTCAAGCCAGGGTTCTTTGTGCCTCAGTGAACCTGCAACACCCATGTAAACTTTAATTGGAAAACCATTGCCCAGCCACTGCCCAGCCACTGCCTTAACCTACAGGCCGTGACACCACCTCATCTAGCTGCTCGCCAAGCTACCTAACTACACACCTGAATTGGAGATTGGGATTATCATACTTGCTTGGATCATTAGACAACCATTGGATTAAAATCACAATTCACTCAAACCAGATAAATTTTGGTATAAGTAACGTAAGTGAGCTCACCATCCCATCTATTCATTTATAGAGACATGGTTATTGTCCAAAAACCATCGTAGGCCAAGCATCCTGTAATAATATCTAAGTTCAGTGCATCATATTGGTAGAATGGAAGACTGAAACATTTTCATTTGTAAAATGCAAGATTTAACTCTACAGCTAGGATGTATTTAACAATATAAAATTAGCCTTTTTATCCAACTATTTACAGTTTCTTCGAAACATTTTTTAGCATGACTGGCAGGTGCTCTGCCTTTTCAGAGCATTTACTCTCTAATGGCATTCCAAATGCTTCGTAATTAAGGAAATATTAACTTTGAGCTAGAAACCTGATGTACAGAAAGCAAAATAAAAAGTGAATCAGAGGAAAATCTAAAAGATTATATACAGAGGATGCATACTTGGTAGCACATTTTCAATTATTCTACAATTCTGTGGACACCTGGAGCTAACTAAGTAAAAGCAGAAGCAGCATCAAAATGCTAGACCTAATTTTGCTTTACAAAAGGTAGTCATAGAGCAATCAATCAAGAAGGATAATGAGTAATTTTGTTTTCATCTAGAATGAGAGGTTTTTTAGTAACCTGCACATTCTATCGTGAAGCCTCATCACAGTCTATCCTTATCAATGCACAAGGCACAAAGCACTTTTCATAGTCTATTCTTGAGATAATTAAGTATACTAACTAAGAGGCACAAGACAAACTTACCAATGCAATAACTGGAGAGAACCAGTCACATTTCATTTCGGATTTTTACTCTACCACTGGTAAACCCTCAACTATCATCTTGGTTTTCAAAAGACTGCCTCCAAATTAAAGAACAAAAGAAGTGATTGATCAACAAATTAATTTCAACGCGGTAATAGAAACTTTGAAGTGTAGCTACAAAATCTAACGCTTACATGCATTGGCAGCATCTTGGTTAGCAGAGGAACTGCTAGTACTCTTTTTTTTCAATCTGCATAGCAGAGGCACATCAATTAATAAGTAAAACTGCCAAAAACTAAGTAACAAAATAGAAGAAAATGAGACATTCATTTATAGAGCCTTATAATTTCTGTATAGCATTCCAAACGGTATCACATAATAAGGCACATTTCATACTACAGTATCACATAACGAAATGTTGTTTTTATACACTGAAAATGAGATATTTGTAATGCTCTGTAATTTAATAAGGCACATTTCAGATCACAGTATCAGATGATGGAGCATAAATGCCAGGAGGCTTGCTTGCATCAGTGATTGCATGAGCTTGTATCACGCATGCATATAATTTTTTTTTTCTGTGGCCAGCTAGCTTTGCAGATGGAATGTAAGCTAGCATAGTTAAACAAGCACGCATCTACTGACACTGGCATGAATAAGCAAAATCTTTCCAGTAAAATGCTAGAATCAGTGGTCCAGCATAGTACAGAACTAAAAAAGCTCTTACTTGCTACAATAAGTGGTGCAGCACAAGCTCTTTTAAGAAAAATGCAGGTACTACCAGTAGATTCACCATATCTCACATAAAAGATAAGTGTCGATAGCCAAATTTTACCTCTGTGCATGGGCATGTTCAAATTGATAAGTTCTAGACCTAGACCTATGTTCTTCTGTTTCCATAAAGTAAACAAATACATGATTTCAAGCCTATCATAATTCTATAAGTGGATAAAGGTTCAGGAAACATCACAAATTAATGGAAGGACCATTACCTCCAGGAGTACGTGGTAGGAGCACGAAAAACATTTTAGCATTAGCCATCACACATGCACTCCTGCAATAGATGAAGACTAATCTGATTAAATTAAACATGCTAGCATCACATGAAAAGCAACTGAAAGAACCATATCATTTCTTAATCCCAACCTAATGGTACCTAAGATCATAGACCTCAGGTTCATCTATCTGCACTGAAACTGAGAGCAGTAATAGAAAATTGAAGCAAAAATAAAAAAAAAACTACATAAGGACATGGCGCTTCACACCTAAATGCCTAAATCCCTAGGCACATACATCCAATCCACGAAGTAAAATCAGAACCAACATGTAAATGCAATTAATGGAGAGAAGCACACACCTTTCGTTTGAGGATTATCACTTTGCTGAGGGGAAATCCTCTACCACCTTCCTGTTTTCAAAAGATGGAAATGGAACCTAATTTTGCTTTAGCCCCAAACTACAAAAGGTAGTGATAGAGATCAATCAAGAAGGACAACGGGTAATTGTTTTATTCATCTATAATCAGAGGTTTTTTAGTAACCTGTGAATGGCAACTCTCTTTTCAAAGCTAATCAAGCCATGAAGCAGATGGTAAAAACAACTCAAGCATTATCCAAGTAATTTCACCTTATCATACACACAGGACCAATGCATGTGCAATCTCCATCCTAACTTTGATCTGTTGCATCCTCTCGGCATAGGCAGGCGCTTCCCTAGGCTGGTTGTGTACGTGACCACCAATCACAAGAATAATTAGAAGAGAATGGAATGGACAAGAACACCTCATCGGAGCAGGGAGCCATGGTGAGGAGCCGTGCCTGCTCTGCAACAGACAACTTCAGCCCGACCTGCAAGAAATGGCCCTCTACGGTGGCACCCACAGCTGAAAGCCTCCATGCCAAAATTAAAGGAGGAACAGAAAAAGAGCGCAAGGACCAGCGAGCCTGTGCGGAAGCCGAAATGAACGGAGGAACACGTGCCCATGAGTGGAGGGAGGTGGAGCACCGGGAGCAGACATGCAGGAGGCAGTGGCCAACGCCATCCCTGGCCCACGGTTGTCCACCATGCCACCGCCGCCCTTAGCCTCCGGTGGCTTCGTGATAGGTGACCTGCGCAGATCCGACGGGAGGACGACGGATCCGGTCATGGAGGCACCGGATCTGCCAGATCCGCCGGGGGCCTCCGCCAGCAAGGAAGATCGAGCCGGCTAGCCTAGATCGATGTCCATCCCGGCGCCGGCGAGGGAAGGGGAGGGGGAGCAAGAGAGGGAGCAAAGCACCTTAACCTGCGCAGCGACCGGGCAGCAGTCGGCCATTGGCCAGCTCGCATGCGTCCCGCGGCACAGTGGGGCTGCAGGCGGCCAGCGGGCCTGCTCGCAGCGCCGCGCCACCTCTGCATGGGGGCCCGCAGGCCATGATGCTGGGGCCGCCGCGCCGGACCACCGCGCCTGGGCCCTCCTGTGCCGCTAAGAGAAGAGGGAGGGAGGAGAGCGGAGACAAGAGAGAGAGGGAGCCGCCGCCGAGAGAGGAGGGAGAGGGAGAGGCGGATGTGGAAGCACGAGAGGGAGTTAGGGTTGGAACAGGTATATATATTCGACATGGTAGGAAACAACACCACCATCGATCGCCAAATCCAACGGCCGGCATTCGTTTCATCGACGTGGCCATCCTGAGGCCGCGCCGGCTCCTGATGTTCTCCTGTCTTTAGATTATGGTTTTTGCAAAATACTTTGGTTTTCAAAACCTAATGTGTTATTGGGTACAACAAACCTTAGTTTCTAAAACCATGGCTTTATCAAAACCATAGTTTTTTT